GTTAAGCGTTCTTCGGGAACCGACGGAAGGCATGTCGAACCGACGGAAGGCATGTCATCGCTGATGTTACCCATGGTTTGCTTAGAGGGCGACCGTATTAAAATGGCGAGAAAACAATAGCTGTGTTCCAGTTTTGAACGAGAACGTCTCGAGAGAATGAGACGAGAATCTCCTATCTTTTTTTCTGCCACCAACCTCTCAACAGGACTTTCGGCTCTGCGGTATTTTAAGTGCCACCATGCCTCACAAGACACTACACTTACGAACAGGTAATTACTCCAAATAGGCACTTACTTAACATTAAAATTACTCCAAGATTTGTTATATACTACTCCAAGACACTATGCACTAATATACATGCCCTCTCCGGGATTCGAAACCTGGGCCCAGACTATGGCGGCTGGCTTGCTGAATACTTTTCTACATAGTTGTCACTTCTGTCGATGCTTTTTTTTTTTTTTTTAAGAAAGAGGAAGTTTACAGATTGTTCGTAGGAATAGCGACCACGAAATCCAACTTTGGCTCCTCAAGAATCAATGCTTCGATCTCCAACATAATCTTCTGATTTATCACACGAGATTTTTTTCACGAAAAGCGAAGCTCCTGCACATAAAAATTATGTGACCAGAAATGACTTCGTAGGCTGTTCAAAAAAGGACTGTATATATATCAGGGATTCTCAAACATTTTTTTCATCGACCCATTCCGTGTGAATGGGTATTTTCCCTTACATTTTCCTCTGTAATATACAGTATGCAACATAATCATAATACAAATATCTGCATATAAATAACTCAAAGATAACAATTTGTTGGGAAATTTACATTCCCCTTTGCGTCTGCGCAGTGTTGAAGAGATGAAAAATTATATAATCCCGTAGAAGCGAAGAAACGTGTGAAAACTGTGTGCCATCCCGATGTGCCTATCCGGTATGTGTGTTGTCTTGGTTATTGGCTTAACCGTGATTCTGTCCAGCATGAAGCAGTGACGTATTGATACAGTATTTTTTGTATGGCATAAAACTGCTTAATTTAATTCTTAGAATCACGTTTGCTGAAAATATTCAACCTTTTTCTTGCTTTCTGTGTATTGACATTAGGTTATTTCAAAGCGGGAAACTTGAAAAATGTGCAGTACCCTCGCCGGGACTCGAACCTCGGTCCTCTCGAACACGCGCCGAGTGTGCTGGCTATTACACCACGAAGGTATGCTAAGAAGGCGGGAGAAATACCTTATATCCGTTGTAAATTATTGATTTGACTACAGCTTGCTTTTGCTAGGTAAGATAGGGAAAGCCAATCATTTTGGTTCGGTAACAATTTTCATTAAGATGTTTCTTTCAGAGAACTTGTTAGTTACAAAACTTAGCGTCTCCTTCTGTTTTCAATCTTGAACGCCCTCCTTCACTGCAGTCAATTCTTTTTACATTATAATATGTTTTTTTTTAATATTATTGGTTTTTAAAATATATTAAATATTTTTAGTGTTTTCGCCTTATATTTATTTTACATAATTTCTTCCTTACTATATGTTATAACTTTATATCTAAATAATTGAGTATCAGTTTTTTTAATAAACATTTTATAATAAACGGAATTTTGAGCATGCCGAAACATTGACAGTGCATATGCTATCGTTGCCCTTCAATCGACCCCTTGATCGTCATCGACCTACTTGACAATTTAATCGACCCCCAATACTGACTCTTTGGAAGCTTAAATGATGAAGAACGATTTTGGCGAGTTTTACAAAGCATCAGTCATAAGAAATAGCGGGATGTCAGCTATGCTTATGTTATAAAATGTCGAATAACTAAGATTTAAAAAAAAAAAAAAAAAAGTTAACAAAGAAACTAAAGTATTTCCTTGGAATAAAACAGGCATTTTGACCTTCCCGAATAGGTCCTGATTGCTAACTTTTTCAATTTTTATTTAGCAACTGATTAGAAAATAAGGTATTATTAAGTAAGTAGTTTATTTCTTTCTATTTTGAGAGATTAAAACCATTCTATTAGCGTTTTCCTCAAGTGTAAGATAAATACGAGCCAGTTTCTCTTAGAAAGTTTCCCACAAAAATATACCATCCCTCAGATAGCATCGTATGCTTTGCTGTATCCAGTAACGTAATCTAAGATAGGGAAGAAAATGTGCAAGTAAATACCCTAAGTGTAGATTTCCTTATTATTAGGTTAATTGGAAGTTAACCTAATAATTCCTTATTATTAGGTTAATTGGAGTCGTTAGGTTAATTGGAAGCAGAAAAGATGAAAAATATGCAACCGCCTTCGCCGGGAATCGAACCACGGACCTCTGGAATACCGGCCCAGCGTGCTACCGTTACACCACGAAGGCACGCTAGGGAAGTGGGAGCAGTACCTTATAATAGGAATAGCGTAAGTGGGTTCATTTGAAAAAAGAGTTGTAATGCATCTCAGTTCCAAAATTTTGAATTTATAAATTAATGGTAATATGTTAATTAAGGAATAATATTTAACCTAGCTATTAAAAAGCCTCCAGATTCTTATCGACTCTAGATCAGTGGTTTTCAACCTTTTGACTAAAGCGTACCACTTAAACAAAAAATGAAAACCTCTAGTACCACCACTACAAAGTACTACTATAACCACCACCCTTAAAGAAAGCTTAGGTCACATAAATTTACCAGTGTGAAAGAAAAAACTCAATCACGATGTTGGGGTTTTAATTTTTGAATTTAATAGTTAAATTACGTCCAAATGGGCGTTTTTTTTTTAACATTTTGTGTGTTACCTTTATTTATTAAATATCATGTTTAACCATAAAATTCAGTTCAATAGCAACGTCACAAAATAATTTTAAAATGAGCCTATCTTTAGAATTTCCGATACACAGTTCCGCGCGCTGGAGATAAAAATGTTTTTGTTTTTCCCCGTAGAGAGTTGCCATTGCTCGCTTTGAAATCCTTGAGTTTGTTAATCAAAAATTCGTTAAAGTTTTATAAAATATGAAATCGATCAAAAAACAAATTCCAAATTTTTCAAATTTGATCTTCCACATGCCCATATTCGTAGGAGGAAAACGTCATTCAAAATTCGATGGCTCTATGCACTTTAGTTTTATCATAATGCGAAAAATATGCATACATTTATGTAGATTTTTCATTATTTAATTTCTTCAAATATAATGCAGGACTCTAACATTCGGTGGCAACAGTTTGAAAAGTGAAACGGGCATTTATAGTGATTCAACGCAAAAGCGCAAAACGAACACAATAGTGCTTCAGGGACAAAGCCCCTTTGGACTAATAATATATAAAACATAAATATGAAACGAGCACTTGAAGAATATATAAAAAAATAAACCGGAAATAAATAATAAAAAAAATGTGAGTTTTCAGATTGCACATTGCGCCCAAAGAAGTTTTTTTTAACGTTTTGTTTGTTTTCTTTATTTATTAAATATCATGTTCTTTGCACTTAAACCATAAAATTCAATTGAACAGCAATATCGCATTATAAATTTAGAACGATTATATCTTTAAAATTCCCCCGAATATCAGTCTCACGCGCTGGAGATATTTTTTTTTTTTTTCGTACAGTATTGTCATTCCTCGCTTTGAATTCGTTGAGTTTCTTAATCAAAAATTCTTTAATTTCTGACAAAATATGAAATAGCTAATAAAACAAATTCCAAACTAGGGCTTCCAGATGCCCATATTCGGTGGAAGAATACGTTATTCAAAATTTTATGGCTCTAGGTACCCGTTGTTTTATTATTATGTGAGAAACATATATACATTTATGCATATTCTTCATTATTTAATTTCTTTGAATATAATACAGGGCTGTAATATTTGGTGGCAACAGTTTGAAAATGAATCAACGCAGAACGTGAATCGACGCAAAATGGCAAAACGGAATAGCCTTCGGAGCTAACGCTCCTTTGGGCTAACAATGACATTTTTCTTTGATAAAAAAGTTTCACTAGCGAACATGCATTCGTATTTAAAAAAAAATAAACATAATTTAACTTCTAAGAGAAATGGATAAGTTTGGCACCGCCGATCCATAATCCATGATTCCAGAAAATCGGCTTTGTCATTTTTTCAGCTTCTGGTTCAACTTATCAGTGCGAGGCAAATGTTTTCGCACGTGAAATTTATTTTAAGAACAAAAGCAGCTTAACTACCGAAAATTTAGATACGTCTTGATGACTAGCCATTAGCCAGATCCGACTATAAATTCACGTTAGAAGTTCAACATCAGAGGAGGAATTGGTATTGAGGAGTAAAATGAAGTTAATTCAGTTATGTTTATTTTTATAATAATTTTAATTTTTATGTTGAAGTTTAAAGCTTATTGTAATTATTTTCTCAATAAAATTTATCCTATTATTCACCAAGAAAAACTGTTCTGAAATGAAAATACCATTGACCCGAAACATCTCAAGACACTCATTTTGGATGATTTTGACCCTCAGCCAAAAAAAAAAGGGGGGGTTGCCAATGCCTGATGTACAAAAACTCTTCAGTATTACACAGACGTAGTGGCCTGACAAATTTCTAATACAGTCTTTATTATAATCAGCGAAGAAATTTCTTTGGTGAATTTAATAACCTGATTTCAAACTGGTATTATGTTTGGCTTTCAAGCATCTCTAATTTGGGAATTTACTTTACTTTAAATTATTAAATAATCGTCTTATACTGTCGTCATATAAATTAATAAACAATTTCATCGTACCTAGCATTAGAGTACTGTCCTGTAAATTTATGATTGTTAGCATTACAAACTGCTGTTATGTTAAGAAATTAAACTTAAAAAAAGAGCAATTATAGAAATGTAACTTTTTTTTTTTTTTTTTTTTTTAATACATTCTGTTTTACAGTTCATAAAATTTTGAATAGCTACAGAGTGCAGCATAAAAGTAGAATCCGAAATTGAGTTTCGAAATTTAAAAAAAAAATTAACGGTAATGAAATGAATAATTAAATAAATGTCTAAAGATTTCTTTTCCTTTCAGAGTCGTGAGTACGTGCCATGACGAGGCTTCGAAATTTATTTACATATTGTCACGAGGGAAAAGAAATTACTTGTTAAGCGACGATTTTTTCCCAATGATGCAGGTAAGAATTAATATTTAAAATTATATCTTGTAATTGCTTTTAAAAGCTTTTATATTCATGTTTGTCTACACTTTTATATAATAACGAATTATTTTTAGGATGTAATTGATTCCCACCCTGGTTTAACGTTCCTGAAAGAAGCTACGGAATTCCATTCAAGATATATACACACGGTAAATTGTTTTATGTTCTTCCACTAGATGGCAGCACTATACATACTTTGAATAAAAATTTTTAGAAAGACCTTTTTACCTTTGCTATTGCTTTTTTTACTCTTGCTTTCAGTAAAATTTTTAAATCTGTGAAGTACTCAGCTCATTTCTTATTATGTTTGTAGGTTATTGCAAGGATATATTACTGTGTTAATAGGTCTTGGAGCGGGCGAATCACTGCTCCTGAGCTCAGAAAAAGTAATTTTTTACAGGTAAGCTTAACGAAAAATTCTGTCAGAAATGTTCTTTAATTATGTAATTAGAAAATTATAATTATCGAAGTTTTTTAAATAAGATAAATATGATTAGTTAGCTACAGCTTCTGATATCTGATTATTCAATGGAAAAGGGCCAGCTCCAAATATTTCGTACCGTGGGTAAAACAGCGAAAAAATAAAATAAGATTTGTCTAGCTTAAATAGGATTTTGAGATTGGTGCCACGTTCAGCGACATAAAATAATAATTACTAATTAAAATAAATATAATTACAGTGCAATAAAACGTAAAGCTATAAATAAAAATTTAATAAATTATTCAATTTATGATAATCGTTTAATAGTTTAAAAGAAATCTGATGTGTACACCACATGGTTTCCTTGTACGGAATATTAAATTATACGCATTTTTTCTTGCATTTCATCTAAACATATTGAATTAACAGTTAACGAATTTTGAATTAAATCTACATCATCGATAGCGCATAAACCACAATAGAATAAATGCGCTGTTTAAAGTTCAATATATTAATTTACCATAGCAACACTGTGGCGCTAGGTTCACTTAGCAGCGTTGCGTCTCAATCATTTTATAATTCAGAGTGCACAATTATATCATCTGAAGAATTGCCACAAGTTCTGTTCAAATAGTATAATAAATCTAAAACGATGTATAAAAGAAATTACACAAATATAAAAGAAACAGTTTTTCACAGATGATTCAACCTCGCTTACGCAATGGGCATGCGCTGCTAATTAATTCAATTCTCACTTCGCGGCAAGGCAGAAATACATAAAAATTCAAAATATTTTCTTTAAAAATTGAAAGATATAGAAAAGCATAAAACACCAAGTACTGTTAAAACAATTAAAAATTTTTAAAAGTCATTTCGTTTTTCTACAGTCCTGTCTTTTAATATAAGATATTTGAAGAGCTCTTTTACGAAAAAACCGAAAAGGAAAAGCATTATTAGTTCAAACGAGCAGTTTGCCCAGAAGGACTATTAATTTCGTTTTGGCATTTTGCGCTGATTCACTACAAACGTTGTTTCACTTTTCAAATTGTTGCCACCGAATATTATCTTCCTCTATTAGTTTTAAAGAAATTAAGTAATGAAGACTCTGCATAAATGTATGGTACGTAGAGCCATCGAATTTTGAATAACGTAATCCTGCTGCGAATATTGGCATCTGGAAGCCAAAATTGAAACTTGGAATTTGTTTTAGTATCGATTTCATATTTTGTAAAACTTTAACGGATTTTTTAATTAACGAACTCAAGGATTTCAAAGCGAATAATGGCAACGTTGTACAGAAAAAAGCATTTTTATCTCCAGCGCGCGAGAGTCTGTATCGAAAATTCTAAAGATATGCCCAATTTAAAATTATTTTGCGATATTGCTCTTAAACTAAATTTTATGGTTTAAGTTTGAAGAACGTAATATTTGTTAAATAAAGATAACACACAAAATGTTTAAAAAACACCCCTTTGGCCAAAATTTAAAATCTGAAACCTTTCAGATTTTTTTTAATGTTTGTTTTATGAAATGACTGTATGAAAGTATTACTTTATTAATGAAACAGCGTACAAATTTAAGATGAATTTATCAGAACGTCTTGACTGAGAAGGAGTTTGCAATAAAAGAAAATTAACAGTCCAAAAAAAAAAAAAAAAAAAAAAAAAAAAAAAAAAAAAAAAAAAAAAAACTCATTTATGTCCATCCTCAATACGAAGCGGTGGATATATTACTGCATGCACTTATCTTTCGTCTGCGGTGATGAAATGCCGAGACATGCCTCTGGGAGCTAACATTCTACACATTCATTTTTCACTGATGCAGGATACCTGCTGTTTATTCTGATTTTTAAATACGTGAAAGGGTACAAAAAGTTACTTGATGATTTTCGTCAGTCAATAAAATCTTTTCAGAAAGTCTTTAGAATCTTTTGCGTTGTATTTTTCAAAATTTATTTTTGATATATTTTCAGATCGTGATTTATCATAATCCTAAAAATAAATCAACTCTTCCGCTTTCTGAATCACTTAAAAAAAAAAAAAAAAAAAAAGTTCTTAGTCACCGAAAAATGTTTATCTGCACTCGTAAGTGATTAAAAAAGCGCTTAAAGTTACTATTTTTATATTTCTTTCCATGTGTGCATGTATGTGTAATGCCTTAACGTAACACTGCTGATAAAAATTATGTGATAAAAATGTTTTAGTTTAAATTTGTATAAGCTAATACTGTGTAGGATCATATTAACTCAAATAAACTCTGAATATGAAATTTACACCTTAATTTTAAATATTATACTTGTGTTGAATTGTGCAAATATTTTAATGTACACTGCGCCGCCCCCGTCCCAAAATGGACAGTTCTAAATCTCCCGTTCTACTGGGCCAATGGACGAAATTCAACTTGCGTTTTTCATGTCTCGAAAGCGCGACTTTGGATATGTATTAGATTTATATATAGCACCATTCTAATATAAGTATTTTGAGACAAAATCGGACTTTTTCTGAAGTAACATACCAATTTTTTTCTATAGTTCCATTCTACGACTCAAATTACGCCAAACTACCAAGTTCTGTAAAAATCGCACGAGTAGTTTTTAAAAAATTAGCTCTGAAAATTTTAGCTCCTCAATGTTAATTGAGTTTGGTATATATTTATTAATCTGTGTTTTTTTTATGAAACTTATTTGATTCTTCCTTTCACATTTCGAAATTCAGGTTCATTCCAAATAAAATTTACCCGTTTACGTGAATTTATATATTGGCGCATTTTGAAATTTGGCATACTTGTTCAAAGCGATAAAACATCAAATGTGGTTTAGACACTTTTCTAAAACTATTTGAAAGTAAGAACAATTTGACTTTTTTCCGCTCATGCACAATGTAAAAAGGTAGGAACGAGGTACCTTTTTTTCCTCTCCGGCAAAATGGAAGGGGTTGCCATATATTAAGAAGTTCGCCAAGTGAATTATTTAGTTTGCGCCAAGGTAAAATTTTTGAATTTCTCCGTAAATTTCGCACCAAATTTTACAAAATTTACTATCTAGGCATAATTTGAGTCGTAGAATTGAAATATGAAAAAAAAATGGTATGTTATTTCAGAAAAAGTCCGATTTTGCGTCAAAATTAGAACAATGCTATATATAAATCTAATATATATCCTAAATCGCGCTTTCGGGACATGGAAAACGCAATTTGAATTCTTTTTTTTCCTCCAGCAGTGTACCTCAAAGTAAATAGTGGTTCATACATTTAATGTTAAAAGGTTGAATAAAGTAATTTTTAGAAATAGGTCGTCACTATCCTCAGTTTAGTATTTCTCCTAGATGTACAGTACAGAAGTATGATCTTGCTATGAAATATGATATTTGAATCTCTATAAATATTTTCTCTCTTAAAACTCAGCTTGGAAAGTGCTAACGCAGCCTTCTTTGCATTGTTTACTTTTATAAATATTGCATGTGGCTTTTTACATTGCATCCTCCATGCCGTTTGTGTTCAGACAAAATTTTTTATATCTCTGAGTGGCTAATAAAAGGCGAATGCAGTTTAATTACAATTTTAATCATTTATGTTGTTTACGTGGCAACGCAAAATAAAATAATTCTGCTGTGTAATTGCAGTCGTGTTATGACTGACAGAATATAATAGAGTGATAAAATAATAATAAATTATAGCCCAAAGGAGCGTTAGCCCAGAAGGGCTATTAGTTTCAAAACGGGATTTTGCTTTGAATCACTAGAAAAGTCTGAATCATTTTCCATATTGTTGCCACCAAATATGATCGCTCTGTATTATATTAAAAGAAATTAAATAATGAAAATTGGCGTGAATGTATGCATGTTTTTCATATTGTGAAAAACAACGTTACCTAAAGCCATCCAGTTATGAATAACGTAGTCCTCCACCCGAATATGGACATATGGAAGCCCGATTTTAAATTTTGAATTTGTTATATTATCGATTTCATATTTTGTAAAACTTTAACGAATTTTTCATTAAAAGGATTTCAAAGCGAACAATGGCAATGTTGTACAGAAAATACATTTTTATCTCTAGCGCGTGAGACTGTGTATCGAAAATTCTAAAGATATGCTCATTTTAAAATTGTTTTATGATATTGCTGTTGAATTGAATTTTATGGTTTAAGTCCAAAGAACATAATATTTAATAAATATAGATAACACACAAAACGTTAAGAAAAGTCCTTTTGGGCATAACGTAAAATTTGATTTTCTTAAAGTCTTCACATGCAACTGTTTAAACTGCCGTTCCACACCAAACCCCGCAAGCGCGCGAGACTGTTTATCGTAAATTCTAAATATAGGCTATTTTTAAATACTTTTAGTCCAAAGGAACATTATCCCAAATGCTCTCGAAACATGTATGTGTATATAAGTGAAAAAAACGCCCCTCTAAGCGTAATATAAAATATCTGTATATAATATCTGAATAATATATATAATGTCTGAAAAACCTTCAAATATATTTTTTAATTTTATATCCTTAATTTTTTTTAATTTATTGTATATTTGTTCGGTATTTATTTTTTATGTCTGTTCACTTCTGTTATAAATTTGCAGGTATTAGCTACTCTTGAAGAGGAAGAAGATATCAATCAGATAACAGACTATTTCTCATATGAACATTTTTATGTAATCTATTGCAAGTTCTGGGAACTAGACAAGGATCATGATCTGTATATAGACCAAAACGATCTTAAGCTTCACAGCGGAGGAGGTAAGAATTTTTTTTAAAAGTATTGCAATTCAAATTTCCGTTTTTTTTTTTTTTTTTGGGGGGGGGCAACTATTTTTTGGAACTATTTAAAAATTTTTCATTCTAATTTCATACTTCTTTGTTGTTTTTAGCTTTGTCTGCAAGAATTATTCAGAGGATATTTTCTGGAGCTGTCACCAGGTAGAATATTGTGATTCTGTTTTTCATTTTTCCTGTTACTTTATAGTCTGATTTTTTTTAATTTTTTTTTTATTCCGTCAGAATGTGGTATCTAAGAATCTGCACTCATATTTTCCTAGAGCTAGCACTCATATTCAGTTTAGTCTTACACGAATCATCTCACATGTTTTAACTAAATACATTTTCTTGCTTTACACTACATAGAAATTTAATAAAACAGCTGCCGTAACGAACACTGTAATTTTTAAATTACTCTTTAAATTACTCTTCGAAGTTGTCAAAATCAAAAAAGGCTTAGTATTTTTATTTATTTATGTAAATAAAACACGTGATTGAATTATAAAGTACTTTCTAGAATAAAAATGTATTTAAAAAAATAATAATAACCCAAATGGTTCCAGATTTTAAGTAACGTCCAAAGGATCATTTTTTTAACATTTTGTCTGTTACTTTTATTTATTAAATATCACGTTGTTCGCACTTAAACCATAAAATTAATTTCAAGAGCAATATCGCAAAATAGTTTTTAATTGAGCATATCTTTAGAATTTCCGATACAGAGTCTCGCGCGTTGGAGATATTTTTTTTTTTTTTTTTTTTTTTCTGTACAACGTTGCCATTGCTCGCTTTGAAATCCTTAAGTTTGTTAATCAAAAATTCGCTAAAGTTTTATAAAATATGAAATCGATAAGATAATAAAACAAATTCCAAATTTCAAATTTGGGCTTCCGCATGCCCATATTCGTAGGAGGATTACGCCGTTCAAAATTCGATGGCTCTATGTACCGTTGTTTTAGAACAATGCGAGAAATATACATACATTTATGCAGATTTTTCATTATTTAATTTCTTCAAATAGAATGTAGGACTCTAACATTTGCTAGCAACAGTTTTATTCAACAGATAACATTTGCGAACATTTATAGTGAACCAACGCAAAATCGCAAAATGAAAACAATAGTCCTTCAAGAACAAAGCCCATTTGGACTAAAAATAGATCAATTTAATAGTGATCAGGTGCAATAGTTAAATCAAGTTAAGGAAGGTATGAATTTCAGTTATTAACTAATGCGTTATTAATGCGAGTATTTTATGATTTTTTTATGACAAATGCTGTATTCTGAGCAATATTGAAATTATAGTATTAAGATACATTTTTGAGATAAATAAATTTCTTCTGATTGTTTTTTGAGTTACTTTTTCTTTTCAGTTGTTTAATATATATACATGTGTGTGTGTAAAATATAAAATAGGAAAGACCAATTCGCATACAGCTATTTAAATTCTTAATTTTAATTAAGTACATCCCCTCTTCCAAGAACACGTCAAAATGTTCAACATTAACACAACCGATGAAAAGCTTATCCACTTTGGGTCCATACTCTAGCAAGAACGTGTAGTGTGTAGTGTAATGCTTGCAGTTGCTTTTGTGTTTCTCTTCTGGATGTGATGAAGATTATCAGTTCTTTCAATGTAAATCTCATTTTTTACAAAACTCCAAAGGAAGAGGGCTAGTGGGGTAAAACCAGGACCTCTTGCTAACCATAGGTCAAGTCATTTTCTGTTAATTTACCATTCTGGAAGTCGATAATTTTATCTTATCTTGCACATGAATCGTGAAGTGGAACAACGCGCCATCTTGTTGAAGGTCTTCTGTTCCATGTCTTACGTTTTCATTTGTTCGATATGTCTGAATGAAAAAGATGTATACCGATATGGCTGAAAGTAGGTAGAAAACACAATCGTCCAAATTCAAGTCTGACAGGTTATGATAAGTGCCGACAAGTGGTTACCACATTTTAGTTCTCACACTCCCTCAAAGATTTTCGGATCAATAAAACATGAAAAATCAGCCGCACCCTCACCAGAAATCAAAACATGAATCTTTCAGTTGCTAAATGGATGTTATAACAACGTGTATGGAGGAATGCCGTAATTTTTATACAAAGAAATCTAAAATAATTTCATAAAATATAAGTAATATAATCTCCAAAAAAAGTCATAGAAACTTTAGTAGTTGTAGTTCTGATACAAAAGAGATATTCTTGTGAAATTATACTGCTTGCGATTTAGTCACCAGCATTGTATGGAACCCGTTGCCATTCATGTAGAGGTTGTAGTATATATGTATTAGCAACACCTGTCTTGTCTTTTGTATGGTCTGAATGAAGCGATCTGTGGACTGAAGATCCTCAGAAGTAATTCAAATGCGAATTCTTCTTAGAAAACCAATCTTAATCACCGGAGCTCAAGTTTAAAGAATATGATGCACTTTCATCCTAGCAAAGAAATCAGATAAAAGTTGTATGATATACACTGGTGTGCAAAAATTAAGGACGAAGTCGAAAAATTAGCATATCAGCTGAACGAAGAGGCAGAGCGGACAGAAAGACCAATCAGGAGATTAAGTAAGGTGATGTACGGTAGCACATGCGCAGATATGCAGGTAGACATAATGGGGGAGTGTCTGAGTAGTGTAAAGCATGTTGTCGGTGTAAGATCAGTATTTCTGGCAAAGAGATTGCACGCCGTATAGCAGTTAAAATCACACCGAGTTGCTGCCTCAGCGAGAAATGGTGAATAATCAATCTGTTAGACGACATCTGGATGCTTTTACCCGAGGTCGAATCATTGGGAAGTTGGAGAAAGGCCGCAGTGTGACAAGTGTGGCTGCAGAGTTCGGAATTGCTCACAGCATCGTTTCACGACTTTGGAGACAATTTCAAACTACGGGAACAGCTATCCGGGGGTTTAGTAGTGGTCGTCCACGAGGAACCACACCCGCAGATGACCGGTATATTGCCTTACAGGCCAGAAGAGCAGGCGGCAGACAGCAGCAGAAATCGCTAGAGACACGACACAGGCGACTGGACGATCGATATCGCGTTTTACCGTGGCCAGAAGACTGCACGGTGGTGGTCTGTTTGCACGACGCCGTGTACGGTGTGTACCTCTAACGCCTGCCCATCGGAGAAGGCGTTCTCTGTGGTGCCAGGAACACCGGAATTGGAGAGACAATGAATGGGGACGAGTACTCTTTACAGATGAGAGCAGATTCAGTCTGAGTAGCGATTCTCATCGCATACTCATCTGGAGATAGCGGGGAAGCCGCAATCATCCCTCGAACATCATTCAAAGGGACAGGTATGGAGGTGGCGGTGTTCTCGTTTGGGGAGGCATCATGCTTGGTAGTCGTACAGACCTTCACATCTTCGACGCAGGTTCAGTCAACGGGACCCGTTATTGTAACGAGATTCTTCTTCCATATGTGCATCTTTTTAGAGGCGCTATGGGTCCGCAGTTCCTTTTCATGGACGACAATGCACCATGTCATCGCACAGTAGCTGCCGAACAACTCTTAGAGAGTGAGGATATTGAACGTATGGATTGGCCGGCACGATCTTCGGATCTCATTCCGATCGAGCATGTATGGGATTTTCTAGGCAGACGCTTGGCAGCTCGTACCTACCACCGTACCTTACCACCAGTAACGATACGATTCCGGAGCTTCGATTGGCGCTGCAAGACGAATGGGCAGCAATGCCTCAACAACTCATTGACACCCTCATTCTCAGCATGGGCAGACGCTGTGAAACCTGCCTAGCAGTCAGGGGAGATCATATCCCCTATTAAAGACCGGATGTTTTCTGCTGGACAACACCCATCACAGGGATGTTTTCGGCCTTCAGTCGCATTGCTTGCTCTCCGTGCTACTTTTTTCAATAAAGCTTCTTTTTCCTTTCTCTGATTTCTCTTTTAGTAAGTGTTGCTTACATTACTCATGTCCTTACGTATTGGGGATCTTACGGTATTAAATGTGTTGATTTGGAAAGCTTTTGTACAAAGTTATATTGAAAAAACCGTCTCGTCCTTAATTTTTGCACACCAGTGTATACTAGAGCATTATCCTGAGAATGATGAATTCTCAAGATAATGCTCTGTAGTATTGTTCCATTAGCGTTTCACTCTTGTCTTGTGCAATTAAGTAAGTGTTTTCACAGCACCTCGTAGCCATTTTCTGCATATCCAACATCTTCGCTGATGTTATTGTTGCTAATACTCACTCATCTACATATAGTCAGCCCAAGCCCACGAAATTCCTCGTGGCAAGCAGCGCAAGTTTACGCCTGCCGTTGGCAACAGCCTTGATGGACAGTGCGATTTAACTCCGTTCCGTTCCCAATTTTGGCGGAGAGCACCCTTGCGAGACTGTTTTCCCTACCACCAACCTCTCGAGAGGACATTCGGCTCACCGCATATTTAGAGTGCTCCAATGCTGCACGGACACTATAGATTTCCAAGCATTCATGCTTTCTCCGCTTAGGCACGGCAGTCGACGCGCTAACCACAGTACTGGCTGTGCGCGGCATAATTGCAAGCTATTGAACTAATACATGTGACCTAAGCGAGAAGCGCTTGTTTCGTTTCCATACCATACCGTATACGAAGCGATGTTGCAATTATTAAAGTTGAATATTGATGTCCTAATATTTGTTCTAAAAAAATACAATCCTTTTCTTTCTTAACGTGAATTCAGACTGCACTGCCTAATTTGATCCAAATGGCACTGCACATTGTTTTTTTTTTTTTTTTTTTTTTTTTTTTTTTTTTTTTTTTTTTTTTTTTTTTTTTTTTTTTTTTTTTTTTTTCCCCTTAAAATGGCCAAAATAACGCTTAGATGCCGAGCTGCGAAATTTAAAACTCATTCAATTAGTTGCTTTCAACACCATGATACTTTTTAACTCGATTGACCCTCTTTTATTTAATGTTTATTTTATCTTGGTTTCTGAGCAGATAACATTATGCCGTGAGAAATTATTATTATGCTTCATGGGAAAAAATGCGGCATCGAGTTCGCATATTCCTTTAGCTCTTCTCTCAACACTTGCATGAGATACTGAAGATCAGCTTTAAAAATCCAGTTATTCATTAAATGCATTGTGTCTTTTATTTTCAATAATTGCCTTACCCAGGGGAAAAATGCAACACTCTAATTTTTATTTTGATGTGTGTGTGTGTAGGATTATGCAAGTTGTGTAATATATTTAGAAAAAAAAAAAGTTGTACAAATTTTATGGCTTTCGATCAGTGACAATATGAGGTATTTTCTCCCTCCTTTCTGCATGCTTTTGTGGTGTAGCCGGTAGCTCACTCGGCGGGTATTCGAGAGGTCCAGGTTCGAGTTCCGGCGAGGGCATTGGTGTTTTTCATGTACTCCAGTTGAAAATGTGATGAAAGGGAAAATATTATTGAGGCTGAGCTGACATTTGAGACTTTTTCAAAGATATTTTTTTCTTGCTATGTTCTGTGTTAAGATAAACATTTAGAATGAATGGCTTCAAATCACCCTCCATAAGTTATTTGTTAAACTTATGAATTTGCTGGAGTTTTAATCATAGGAGACCGTACATTAATCATATGAGCTACCACTTCGATACCTTAGTTTTGTTTTGCTATTGCAAAACATTCGATGTGGTGCAACAGTAGTAAATAGAAATTCAAGAAATGCAGATAATGTGATCGGTTTGAGACAGGAACACTAAAATACACATCATAATACGTAGTGCAATGCATCCAACATCTTGTACCAGCGACTGCACAATGCATAACTAGAAATAATCTGTAAAATATATATATTGATAAACTTCTGTATTTCATATAAATGAAGGAAATTTCTCATTAATTGGTTAAAGCAAATTTATGGATAGCCAGACTGTCTTTTGCGCTGAAGGCCACTAACATCGGACATCGTCTTGAACATTTGCAGAGATGTAACAAAGCTACGTGAGATAAAGGATGACGCAGTAAGATGTTTAGCACTCTTCTATATTGTGAGGACAATCATGATTGGTCACTGAATGAGTCTGAACGCGATGTGGCAGTCTTGCTATGGTACAGTAATTGCCCACCAGTATGTTGATCATAAGATGCACCATGATAGACTACTGTATCAACTAGCATTTTCAAAGTGTCCAGAAGATTTTTTGATAAATATGAAACAGATATTTCACCAATCAAAGAATCTGTGAGGCATGAAAAATCTTTGAGTGTATCCTTTGTGAAACCCTCGTTATAAAAAAAAGGCTTGAAATGTTTGGCATGTCACATGGTTTATAGCAAAGGCAGAGACTTCGAATACATCCTGAACCAGTGCCACAAGGTGTTTACGACTCCATTGTACCACTTAAAATGCTGAACGTCCTACTTATGACATATACTTAAACATTTTGTAGAGGATAGAATATCGCAAGAAGTGTATGTACATTTCACTTCCGAAAATTGCAGTAATATTTAGTATCGTTGCGTTTTTTCCTGACACCAGTTGTTACGTTACGTAAAGGTTTCGTGTGGATTTGGAGTGAATAATGACGACACTTGATGATGAAGTATCGAAATACACTTCATTTACCAATATGAATCAGGACAGCTACAAAATCACTTTTACAGTCGTCAAATTGTTATAAACACGCTGACACGTTCAGCGACACAGCCTTCACACACTATCAGGCAATAACGGTGGAGACAGCTTCACTGCAAAGCAACAGAGTACAGCTCCCGACTCTGCTCGGTCGTTTTTGGAACTTCACGTACTCTCAAGACTCTCCACGCTACAACTCGCGAATCATCCCTTCTGACACGCGAATCATCCCACACAGTTGTAGCGTTTTTTTCTGACACCAGTTGTTACGTTATTTTCTTCCTTCACGTTCTTACGGGGTTCGCAGATTTGGAGTGAATAACAACGAAACTTGATGAAGTATCAAACACACTTTATTTAGCCGATATTAATCAGGACAGCTTCAAAGTCACGTTTTACAGTCGTCGAAGATCTGCTATACACTCGCTGGAACAATCAGCGACACAACCTTCAGATTATCAGGCTATAACGGTGGAGACAGCTTCACTGCAAAGCACCAGAGTACAGCTCCCGACTCTGCTCGGTCGTCTCGGAACTCCACGTACTCTCGAGACTCTTCACGCTACAACTCGCGATGCACTCGACGACACACAGAGCACGGCTCTCGAATCTTTGGTTCAGTCGTTCTCGGAGCTCAACACACTCTCTCGACGATGCACTAACCGCGATACACTAAGAGATTCTTTCGATGCACTCGACGAGCCACTCGGCACTCGCTGCCTGGCTGTCAACTCGATCGACTCCGCACGGACTGCTGTCTCGCACTCTAGATAAGGCCACACTCTGCGTGCGGACCAGCAAGGTTTATATAGCTTTCGGCTTGTGTTCGAGAACATTCTGGGCTAAACCGGTAAGAATTCGTTCCAGAAGATTCTCCATCCGTCCATGGCATATCGCCAATTTCGTCGCCAAATGTGGCAACCCTGGCTTCCCTGCTATTTTATGGTAACCCTAAAACTGCTTTGCGGGGAAGCCATCTTACCGCGTCTTTACATTTCGTAACAGTATTATTTCCGATTATTTTGTAATTGTTTCTAGGAAGAGGAAACACTTCTGTATTATCTTTGGAATACGAGTATTAGAGCTTTATGAATCATGAAAAATCTGCCGCACATTCGATGAGACCCAAAAGCAATATCGCAAATTAATTTTAAAATGAGCATATCTAGAATTTCCGATACAGAGTCTGGAGTGCTGGAGATTTTTTTTTTTTTTTTTTTTTTTTTTTTTTTTGTACGGTGTTGCTATTGCTCGCTTTGAAATCGTTTAGTTTTCTGATCAAAAATTCGTTGAAGTGTTACAAAATCTGAAATCGATAATAAAACAAATTTCAAATTCAAATTAGGGCTTCCACATGCCCATATTCTATGAAAGATTTACGTTATTCAAATTTTGTTGGCTCTGGGTACCGTTGTTTTCTCACAGTGCGAGAAACGTACATATATTCATGCAGATTCTTCATTATTTAATTTCTTTAAATATAATTCAAGGCGATAATATTTGGTGGCAACAATTTGAAAAGTGAAATAACACTTATCGTGAATCGACGCAAAATGCCTAAGCGAAATTAATAGTCCTTCTGGGCAAATTGCCTCTTTGGGGTAATAATTTAGAAATAGTGATTCCCCCCCCCCTTCTTTTTTTTTTTTTTTTTTTTTTTTTCAAAAGGTTCTCGTGAATTAAATCATCAGTACTGTATCGGAATAACTGCGATTTATTACAACCCATTTTTCTACACTCCATTTAAAATTTTCGTCATTTTTTCTAATGTGAATTTGTTAATTCTTTTCCACATATTAGTAAAATCTTTGCTTTTTATATTCTATATAAATCTTGTTACTTAGGAACTTATGTCAGTATTTTGCATCATATAATTGATTGACGCTTTCATTGCCGGGACTCAACTGTAACGGACAAAAATCGCTAATTCACGCTCTACCATTATCATAGTAGCATTATCCTCTCGAACATTAATACCACCCTTGTTTTACTAGTTTCATTATAATTTGAACATGCGCAATTTAAAAAGAAAAAAAACAACCATTTATTATGGAACATTGAATATAACTTTTCGTAGATCTTTTCAAAATCTTTTCTTTCTTCCTTTAAAATGTTGCAATTTTACTTTCGTTTTAATTATGAATCTTCGACCAGTTATATTCTTCATATTTATATTTTGTTTGCACTTATTTTAATTCTTGATATTTACGTTTTTTTTTTTAGAAAAAAAATATTTTTGGCAAATGTCTGTATTTAATTCGCAGTTCGCTTATTCTGATTTTAATTTTGATTGTCTCATATTCAATCTTTTGACTGTAGCGCTGGGGGGGGGGGAAGTGTGTCATTTTTAGATAATTTAATGCAAACCTTTTTTTTTAAAGAATCTGTTATTAAAAATTTATTTTAAGGAAGTGATTGAGAATAAACAATGAAAACATAACTATTATAAACTTTTAATATAATTCAATGTAATTAAGAAAATATATTCAGTTATATTCTTCAGAAAAATATATTCAGTTGTGGAGTCATTAGGTTATTTTAAAACAGGAGACATGAAACTGGACCTCTCGAATACGCCGAGTGGGCTACCGTTACGCTACGAAGGCATGCTAGAAGGAGGGAGAAAATACCTTATATATTCCCCCTTTTAATGGGTGACAGGGGATTAGGGAACCCAATCAGCAAATGCTGGTGGTGACGAATTATTGTCCACGAATTAGTTCGGGCCCCACTATGGAGTCATTAAGTTATTTTGAAGCAGGATCCATGAAACATAAGCAGTGCTGTCGCGGGGTCTCGAACCTGGACCTCTCGAATATGCCGAGTGGGCTACCGTTACACTACGAAGGCGAGTGTGCTACCGTTACACAACGAAGGCATCCTGGAAGAAGGGCGAAAATACCTTATACAGTTCTGAAAACAGATGAGAAACACGCCAAGTGAAACATAAAATTAGTAACACAACAACCTTGAATCTCAAACGATTTCGAAGGCACACAGATCCCTCGTCATCAGGAGCAAAGAAGACTGCAAGACTGTCTATTCATTTACTGTCTATTCTGAATTTTATATTCAGTTATATCCTATATATTATCCTTCAGATTTTTTTGCTTTATAATCAGTTTTTATGAGTTGTTAAATATATATGTTTTCTTTCTTATTTTCTCAGAGGTCCTAAACAGAAAGAAGGGAAAATGAGCTATACTGAATTTGTATGGTTTCTTATATCTGAAGAAGATAAAAGGCATCCTAGGAGGTACGAATTACTTTTTAAAAGAAATTAATTAATTTTTTTCCGTTTTCCTGATTTATTTTTAATTAAATTTGATTTCAACATAAACTGTTTACGAAAAAAAAAATTATATCAGTTAATTAATTGATGTTAACATGAAACCACGTCATGAGACTCATTCCTTCTTTTTTCGTGTTTTTGTAGTGTATAATTTATATAGTAATCATAATTTAAACACGTGCAATTTAAAACGAAAATGCTCTTATATACAGTTTTTTTAAAATAACGTTTGTTTATCTTGATTATTACTTTATTTACGTGTTCCGCTCCAAGGCACTACACGATGGAGGTAGGAACGGAAGGAGGGGCCAATCCACACTAGAAGTGAAGCACTGCTTTGAAGCTTGGGTCACCAGATGGGGGCACTCCTTACTCACTTCCTTCCCCGTAAACCCTTAACGGTGTCCTTCATTCCCTTTAGCCAGTGCTTTTTCTTAATTACTTCAGTTTTCTTAACGAAGTTGTGGAGGTAATTGCATTAAGTTGCAAAGGTACTCCGGAAAATATCGCCTTGGGCCAGATGGGGTGTTCTTTGTTTACATTCAGAAGCTCGCTTGACAGGATTCTGATAGTATTTCGACACACGACAGTTCCATACAAACCGAAAATGAAATCGAAAATTTCGCATGAAAGAAACATTCATAGTGTAATGGATAATAGCAATTTGTATATTTTAGTGACATTTACGCAAAAATCACATCTTGGTTATTTTTCGATAACTAACAACAGCGATTTTGATTATGAATTTGTTTTATAAAATTCTAAGCTGTTGAACTACAAAAATATAGATTTTAAGAAAAATGTTATGCTTAAAGAATGAAAAATACCTTACGGTACATTTAAAATTGTATACGTCTTTCGATACCCTTGATTCGCTACTTTTCGCTAGAGTATTCGCTACTTTTATTTTATTTTCCAAACGCCAAAATGTTTTAAATAAAACAAATTTTTTTCACATCCATATATTATTGTTGCATATTATTGCAAAAACCATGTATCTGCCTTTGACAAAATACATAAATATTCATTAAATTATTTATAATGTATTTGAAATGAAGAATTTATTCACTTATAAACAACTGTACTGTGAAGAAATGTATCTAAATGTATCTAATTTATAATTATTAAATGTTATCTAAATATATAATAACCTTAACGCTTTAACTGTCAAGTTATTTTGATGATTTGGGTACACAAATTGTCAAATTTTTTTATTGGAAAAACCAAATGTAGCCGAAATAAACATCTCCCGATATATATTCGGGTATGACAATACGATGCACTCAAAAAAAAAAAAAAAAAAAAAAAAAAAAATTACCCCGAGAAATACTCGGGCGTGACATTTTCGAACACCAGTGCTGTCCCCGAGATAATCTCGGGCATGACAATTAAAAGGTTAATATTGAATTGTAAACATTGAAATCCTGTTGACAATTACGTTATAAAACTATTTAAGCAAGAATTGTTCGTATTGGAAAGCAATCTGTTAAAAGGTATTGTAAAGCAAATACTATGAGATGTGCACTTAAGAACGTAATAAAGAGTTTTGGATTATGTATTGTTGAAATTAAGGGTAAAAAAAATTCTGATAAATATAATTAAAAGAATTATTCCCCTTACATTTTATAATAACTCAGTTACAAGTTTTAAATAATACTTCAAAAACTTATTTTATTTCCTTTCAGAAATGTTCAGAGAAAGTCAAGTACTATTTAAAGTATTTCGCTAATTCCTAATAATTCTCTAATTTAAAATGAACCGAATAGAGCATTAATTATAAATTGACTTTCATTTTTCGATTTAAAAGATGCCTCAGAAGCCAAAAAATCATGTCATATTTAAGAAAGTATTTTAGGAAGAAGCTCTATAAATAGAAAAGAAATAATGCTTAATTTTAATATTAATAATACAATAAACTTTGATCTTAATGTTTGTACCTTAACCGAATAAAATCGAATTACCTTAATTTTTTTTTCTAATGTAATTAACGAAAACTTGTGAAAATATTTCATTCATAATACTGAGAAAACTGTCCTGTGAAAAGTATAACATTTAATTCCGTTCAGAATGAAATGTTGTTTAAAAATATGTTGTTTTCACATACTTAGAACTCTGAAGTGTTGTAGAAAAAGAAAATATATACATTTATATGTATATTTACGACGTAATTACAAAATATTTATATCCGAACGCGTCAAATCCCATTGAACTCAATGGTAAATGACCCAATGTTTTGGTCACCACGTAGGGTGCTTCAGAGCAGGGTACTGGAGAAACTTGTTTAGGGCGACTCCATCTTACTTCCTACCTCCATGCACTACACAGAAGGGAGGGATGTCTTCGTGGAATATATTTATACTTAATGCCTTTAAAATAACGACCGAGTAAAGCTAATTATGTCTATTTGAAAGAATACATCAACTTTATTTGGTTTCCGACCGACTAACCGACCTGCCAAAATTGTAATATTCGCTGTGAACCTAAACTGTGTCGCAAAAACAGCGTATACTTATTAGATATCAGAGCAGGAGATAATGTCTAACTGGAGGAATAAATCTAGAATCTAGTTTACCAACCTTTCTTGGTTCACCGTTCCTTTTTTGAAGTTTCGTTTTCAAGGCCCTTCGAATAAGTTAAACGTTCAGTACCATTACAACAACGATATTATTAAATGTCTTCTGAATATAATCTGTAAATACCAAGGCAGGGTATATATAGCTTTAACCTACCTTCGAAAACATTCCCGAGGCAAACCGCTAAGAATGCGTTCTAGAATGTTCTCGCTCCGTCTATCGCATATCTCCAATATTGTCGCCAAATGGACGCTTTCGCATCAAATCTGGCAAACCTGCATTTTCTCACTTTCTGGTAACCCTGACCTCGCTTTGTAAAGCAGCTATCTTACCGCAGCTGGCCATTTCGTAACGGTATTTTGTAATAGAATGTGTGTGCCAAAATGGCGCTGTTCAGCGGAAGGTAAGAGTTCAGCAGGGATAAATTTCCTGTGTGAATGTCGAGCGGTATGCATCGCTACACGAACACGAAGCTCCCCGACATGCATCTTATCTATGCAGCTGGAATCAAGCAATTTCTGAATTAGATGTGCAATAAATGTACCTTCTTGAGCAGCTGCATCTGCAGCTTTACAGATTCATCGCGCTCTACTTTTCCGCATGGGGAATGATAATTCACGCCAGCAGAACGCTTTTATCTTCTACTCAATAACACCCAACACCACCTAAAGGCGCCGTTTGGGCTCACTCATTCCACCGTTTATTTGGGTCTCTTCATTCTGCGTCAACCTTTTTGCTAGATTTTCCCGATCATCTTGTAGAATTATAAATGACTTTTCTGCTTTTGCATTATTTTTCGTATCAATAAAAATTTATCTTCACAGAACCTGAATTCGTATCTAATTATGATTTTGATAACTTTCTAGCATTGAATATTGGTTCCGTTGCATGGACTTAGACGGGGATGGTTTCCTTTCTATGTACGAATTGGAATATTTTTATCAGGAACAACTACAAAGGTTGGAAGCCTTGGGAATCGAAACGCTACCTTTTAACGACTGTTTGTGTCAGGTAATAATTTAATTATTAATTAAAATACAAACTACTGTAATTCACACAAATAACAGCAATAATTTATGTGAATTATGCTGTGATTGATTGTATAAATATTAAAATTTCTTCAAGTAATTCACATTAAGTGCATTTTTTTGCCACAGATTAATAGACTTCTTATTGGTATAATTTCTTGTTTGTCATTAAATTAATGCTGTGAATAATAAAAATAATAGAAAGAATTCGTTAGTTTTTTTAATCTTTCTTCAGACTATTATAAACTTACAATTGTATTTTACGCAGATTTAATTCGACGAGTTTTGTACAAGTTTATAAAATTACTCGTATTTGACCTATCATTTTTCCAATTATTAATAAAATTCAGAGTTTGTCCTTTAGAATCCTATTCTAGACATGAATTTTCTGGGATAGCTATTGTTCAATGGCCGTTAATCAATCAAAAAGTTTATACAAATCAAACTGGAAACATATAATAATAAAACATTCACATGCAAAACATTTAATAATAATTCAGCAATACAGATAAACTTTAAAATAAGAACTACAATAGTTCTAAATCAGCTACGCTTTTAGCGACCGAATTCTTTCAACGACAAATCTCAAACGCGTGTTGCCAACGTAGGGCAACGAATAGGTTGAAATTAATTCGATAGGCGTGGAAGTGAACAGTTATAACGTCACTATGTCTTAATGTACTCTGTTTGTGTGTGTGTTTTTTTTTACCAATGAGCATAAACATGCATTGCTTAAATTAAGCAGACTTTAAAATTTCGCAGTTTTAGTTAAATTGCCGGTGGGTGTAAGTTACCCTGTTTATTGAATATAAAATTAGAAAAGAAGTAAGTGAATGTTCCTTTGAGATAAGGTTACTGATACACCAGTTTTTATCATTGTTTTTCTCTGACTCTTATAAACCAAAGTAGTCTTATCTCCTAAAAAAATTTATTTTTTCATCCTAATCCTACTCTTTGCTTAGTTAGCTTCTTTTTTGACAGATTATTTCTGAAGAGGTTATGAATACTTGAAAATGAGAAAGGAAGTTTGTTACCAATGGCATTTTTAATAAAAATTTGTTGAAAAATTCACAATAAAACCCTTCCCAATAAATTAGAAAAATTGAGTATTTCCCTATGGCGTTCGTTCTGAAATTAAAATTTTTAATATGTGAATTGTATTGTTTAAATTAATATGTGTATTGTGAATGTGTATCTTTCATTCATCATTAACGACAAAACTTTTCTAAAAGACATTGTGTCTCTTAGTTTCAGTCTAATTTACGGTGCATAAAATATCTTTTCTTTTCCTATGTAATAAACTTCTAAATTCCCATCTTCATCATTATTTAAATTATCTCAGCATGTTATTCTTTCTCAGTTATTTTGTTGTATATGATCCTAATAATCATGTAGAAAGTACATGGTGCAAAAAAAAGGGGGCCACAGTTCTGTAGCTCCAGTTCTACTGGTCCGATTGATGAAATTCAAATTGCATTTTTCATGTCTCGACTTAGAATATATATTAGATTTATATATAGCATTATTCTAGCATAGGTATTTTGACACAAAATCGGACTTTTTCTGAAATAACATATACTTTTTTTTTCCATATTTCGATTCTACGACTCAAATTATGCCTAAATATTAATTTTTTTAATTTTTGGTGAGAAATTTATGATAAAATTTAAAAATTTATCGTGGCGAATTTTTTTCAGTTAGCGCCAAGAATACACTGGTGTGCAAAAATTAAGGACGAAGTCGAAAAATTAGCATATCAGCTGAACGAAGAGGCAGAGCGGACAGAAAGACCAATCAGGGGATTAAGTAAGGTGATGTACGGTAGCGCATGCGCAGATATGCAGGTAGACGTAATGGGGGAGTGTCTGAGTAGTATAGAGCATATTGTCGGTGTAAGATCAATATTTCTGGCAAAGAGATTGCACGCCGTATAGCAGTTAAAATCACACCGAGCTGCTGCCTCAGCGAGAAATGGCGAATAATCAATCTGTTAGACGAGACATCTGGATGCTTTTAACCGAGGTCGAATCATTGGGAAGTTGGAGGAAGGCCGCAGTGTGACAAGTGTGGCTGCAGAGCTCGGAATTGCTCACAGCATCGTTTCACGATTTTGAGAGACAATTTCAAACTACAGGAACAGCTATCCGGGGGTTTAGTAGTGGTCGTCCACGAGGAACCACACCCGCAGATGACCGGTATATTGCCTTAGAGGCTAGAAGAAACAGGCGGCAGACAGCGGCAGAAATCGCTAGACACACTACACAGGCGACTGGACGACCGATATCGCGTTTTACCGTGGCCAGAAGACTGCACGGTGGTGGTCTGTTTCCACGACGCCCTGTACGATGTGTACTTCTAACGCCTGCCCATCGGAGAAGGCGTTCTCTGTGGTGCCGGGAACACCGGAATTGGAGAGACAATGAATGGGGACGAGTAGTCTTTACAGATGAGAGCAGATTCAGTCTGAGTAGCGATTCTCATCGCATATTCATCCGGAGAGAGCGGGGAAGCCGAAATCATCCCTCGAACATCATTCAAAGGGACAGGTATGGAGGGGTGGCGGTGTTCTCGTTTGGAGAGGCATCATGCTTGGTAGTAGTACAGACCTTCAATCTTCGACGCAGGTTCAGTCAACGGGACCCGTTATTGTAACGAGATTCTTCTTCCATATGTGCGTCTTTTTAGAGGCGCTATGCGTCCGCAGTTCCTTTTCATGGACGACAATGCACCATGTCATCGCACAGTAGCTGCCGAACAGCTCTTAGAGAGTGAGGATATTGAACGTATGGATTGGCCGGCACGATCTCCGGATCTCAATCCTATCGAGCATGTATGGGATTTTCTAGACAGACGCTTGGCAGCTCGTACCTTACCACCAGTAACGATTCCGGAGCTTCGATTGGCGCTGCAAGACGAATGGGCAGCAATGCCTCAACAACTCATTGACACCCTCATTCTCAGCATGGGCAGACGCTGTGAAACCTGCCTAGCATTCAGGGGGATCATATGCCCTATTAAACACCGGATGTTTCTTGCTGGACACCATCACAGGGATGTTTCGGCCTTCAGTCGCATTGCGCTCCATGCTACTTTTTCAATAAAGCTTCTTTATCCCTCTGATTTCTCTTTTAGTAAGTGTTGCTTACATTACTCATGTCCTTACGTATTGGGGATCTTATGGTATTAAATGTGTTGATTTGGAAAGCTTTTGTACAAAGTTATATTGAAAAAACCCTCTCGTCCTTAATTTTTGCACACCAGTGTAATTCACTTGGCAGAATTCTTAATTTATAGTAACCTTTACTTGATTACCAAACCATCATCCTCAGCTGCCAAAGTGCAAAATCTTTGGCAGCTGAGGATGATGGTTTGGTAAAACCATCGAAACTAGTCCTATATAACGCTGCTTTTTTTTTTTTACTTCTAAACTAATACTTGTTTGGCTTGTTATTTATCTTAATTACGTAATACTGTTAACACATACACATTTTCTGCTTTAATGTAATCTTTATTTATTTATTTATTTATTTTTGGTTGTACGTAAAGACTTAAAATGAACCCAATTGTATTGTATTAGGTTAATTTTAAAAAGTTTAAAAAGGCATTGGAAAGCATTAAACTTATTTGAATATGAAAATAACCCAACACTTATAAAAGAAAGTTTTAAGAAATCGTAAATTTATTTATATTTGCAAAAATTTCTAAATATCTCCTGAAATTCATGAAAATAATCGAGGAAGTCCTCTCCTTGTCGTAATCAATTATTTAATTATATTTGCAAAAATCTCTAAATGTACCCTGAAATTCACTAAAATAATCGAAGAAATTCGTGTCGTAATCAATCATTTATTTATATTCGCAAAAATCTCTAAATATCTCCTGAAATTCATGAAAATAATCAAGGAAATTAGTGTCGTAATCAATTATTTATTTATATTTGTAAAAATGTCTAAATATACCTGAAATTCCCGAAAATAATCCCCGAAATTCGTGTCGTCATTAATTATTTATTTATATTCGTAAAAATCTCGAAATATCCCTTGAAATTCATGAAAATCATAGAGGAAATACTTGTCATAATCAATTATTTATTTATATTTGCAAAAAAATCTCTAAATATTCCCTGAAATTCATGAAAATAATTGCGGAAATTCGTGTCGTAATGAATTATTTATTTATATTTGCAAAAATCTCTGAATATCCCGTGAAATTCATAAAAATAATCGCTGAATTTCGTGTCGTAATCAATTATTATCCTTAGTAAGATGAGTAAATTGTTATCTTTTTTTATCTGTAATTATTTTAATACTTTATACTGAAATATCTTTTAGATGCTGGACATCATAAAGCCTAAGATTCCTGGTAAAATTTCATTAGCAGATTTAAAGAAATGTAAAATGACTCCAATATTCTTTGATACCTTCTTCAATCTAGAAAAATATCTCGATCATGAACAAAGGGATCCATTTGTGTCTCAAAGGGTAAGACTGAAGCATTTTTTTTTTTTTTTTTTCCTGTATGTAGAAAAACTAACTAAAGCTGTCAGTTAGGAAATATAATATATTTTCATCAATATCGTAAACATTTCTAATACAAAAGTTCATTATAGCTAATTTAAAGAAATCTGTTTTCTTCTGTAAACATAGTGCATATGAAGTATTTGAAATATTAACATGTGCGAAAGTGCAAGGTTTTTATATGAAAGCAATTTAATATTTTATACCTTAATTAAATAATACTTTTAATTAAAAAAATTAAAAGAAATATTAATTTTATTCTATTTTTTTAAATAATAATTCTTTATTGAAACTTATCTTGAGCTTGATTTAGCTGTAAAGCAAACTTGGAATTTCAATACTGTTAACTAAAAAATAATAAATAAGTAATAGTTTTCGTTATATCACAAATAATTAAAGGCCTGAGTGAGTAGTTATTAGTTTTTAAGTTGCAATTCATATATAAATATCTTTTTTTTTTCCCTTGACATCATATATTTTTAAGCTTTCTTCTTTGTTATTTAATTCTTCTTTGTTATTTAAATCATCTAATTTTTTGTGCATTTTTTTATATATGATCTTGCTAATCAACTGTTACTGGTATTTTAATTCACGATGCAAGCAAGCTAGCAGGAATGAAGTGTTACATAGTATCCTCATTTAATTCTAAATCTACATATTACCAGTTTTGCTTTTTTCAAAATGTAAATAATAATAATAATAATCGTAAAAAAAATCTGATTTTATATACGCCCGAAGGATCTTTTTTTAACGTTTTGTCTGTTACCTTTATTTATTAAATATAATTTTCTTCACTTTTAAAATATAAAATTGAATTCAACAGCAATATCCCTAGATATTTAAAGAGAACAAACATATCTTCGGAATTTGTGATACACAAACTCGCGTGCTAGAGATAATTTTTTTTTTTTTTTTTTTTTTTTTTTTGTACAGTGTTGCCATTACTCGCTTTGAAATCGTTAGTTTGTTAATCAAAAATTCGTTAAAATTTACAAACTATGAAATATATAAAAAAAAAAAAAAAACAAATTCCAATTTAGGGCTTTTAGATATCCGTATTCGAGTTGAGGACTACGTTATTCAAAATTTTATGTATCTAGATACCGTTGGTTTTTCACAGTGCGAGAAACATTCACACATTCATGCAAATCCTTCAATATTTAATTTCTTTAAATATAATGCAAGGCTCTAATATTTGGTGGCAACAATTCGAAAAGTGAAATGCCGTTTATAGTGATCGAACGCAAAGTGCCAAAACGAAATTAATATCCCTTCTGGGCAAACTGCCCCTTTGGGCTAATGATAATATTTATGATTCCCTTTTTTTTTTTTTCCTAATATTTTTTAATATAATTTTTTTTTTAAATAATTTTCTCATTTTAAATTTTTAAATTTTTCTATGTCTGCTATCTCTAGTATTCCTCTAAAATACTTTTGTACGTTCTAGGAGCATGATGGCGAAGGACCAGAGATAAGCGACTGGGATCGCTTTGCCGCCGAAGAATACGAATTGCTGGTCGCTGAAGAAGGTGCAAATGAGCAACAGGATGAATTGTACGTTATCGACTTTGTCTAAACACATCGAAATGTAAACGATGTACGTAAAGAATGTGAATACAATTGGGTTCATTTTATTGAATGAAACATTATTAGAGCCCCCTTGTGTTTAAATAACAGTCTTCGACACTAGATGGCAGCACTAGTTAAAATTTTAATTTTCCTTAGTAACTATTAATGCTAATTATTCATTTATTGGTATATGTTAAAAATCGCATAAGTAAAAAACTAAATGAAATGCATCTAGAAAGGTTAGACTTCTGGTCTCCCATATTATTAAAAAATTACACAGTATTTGAAAATTTGTGAAGGCAGAAACTTGTTATGTTCAGTTGAATAAAGTTAATGGTTTCAAATATCAGGTACATAACGAAGGAAAGCGAAAAATGTTTTAGATATTAAATATTAGCTATATTCTTATAAACTTGCATTTTTAAAAATAATAATAAAAAGATAATTTAAAATTTTGGGGTTATTTTCCTTCAGTAATCTGGTTATTACTGTATGATACATAAACTCCCTCTTATTAGGTAAAAATTATTATCAGGAAAACAAAGTTGCCTATGAAATATGTTTCCAATTAAACCTAAATTAAAACTCTGAGTGATATGTTCGAATTTTGGTTTCTGATAACAGTTATATTTCTTAAAACAAATTATTATGTCATTTAAAAATAAATAGAGTAACAAAGTGCATTAAATAAAAATATGGAACAGTTAGTTATCATAAAATCAATATCAGGAAATTCCTTTATCATGCATATTGTTTTGTAATAGTGGAACAACTGATCAATGAAAACATTAATGACTTAGAACAGGGGTTCTCAACCGGTGGTATGCGTTACCATTGGTGGTACGCAAAAGAAAAATAGGTGGTACGCAAAGAAGCAAAGTATTTTAAACAATTAAATTCAAAAATTAAAATCCCAACATCCTGATTGAGTTTTTTCTCTAACACTCGTAAATTTATCCGAGCTGAAGCTTTGATCCAAGAGTGGTGATGGTAGTAGTAGTACTTTTGTAGTGGTGGTACTAAATGTTTTCAATTTGTGTTTAGGTGGTACGCGTTTTTCAAAAGATTGAGAACCGTTGACCTAGAAGATCCGAGGAAAACGAGGGAGGAAAAAGAAACATTTTCCCCTCTTCTTCTCGTGGATTTTTTTTTTTTTTTTAATGTGAATTCCGTTTAGATTCCTACAACTACCAATTTTTTTTTTTTTTTTTTTTTTTTTAAAGATTTAATGCAAACTTTATTTTAAATTCTTACAGCTAAAAAATTTTAGACTGCGCTTGTAATGAAATAATCCATATGCATGCACGCTGTTTTAGAAACAATCTTTAGAGTCATTTTTTATTCATATGTTAGTTTCCTTTTTTTCTTAAAACCAAAATTCTTTTTATACTTTTAAGGTATAATTGAGAGGGTAAAAGGGAGGGTTGGGGAAAGAAAAGATTGTTTAGACAATTGATCAGTAATATATATTTGCTAAACTATATTTTTATATATTTAAACATAAAAGTCGTTACAGGTTTATCAAGAGCTCCCACCTTGATTCAGACTTTAACAACTGGGAAAAAAATCAACCCTTTTTTAGGATGGATTTCTAATGAAAAAGGCTTAGAATATTTCAGGAAAACAATTGGCGCAGTTATTCTTCTTTAAAAATCAGCTAATCTACTAATAAAGGTTGAGTTTTTCCAGTTAGTGAATTCCATTTGCACATTCAACTGCTCATTCTTGATATAATTTAATCTGGTGAAACAAAGTGCAGCTGAAATTAATTCCAGCCTTTAAAGTTTGTATATTCACTCTTTGCTTTATGTAAAATGTTTTTAGTTTATTTACTTGTGGTTATGGCGAAGAACTCGAGGGCTATTTGCCCAAGGGCAGGGATGTCTTTGTGGGCACATGTAAAATGATCATGCCTGCGTATAAAATAGCATATTTCTAATTGCAAACACTATTTATGTTATAGTAACTTTTTAAAACTGTTTGTCTTAAAGGAACCCTTGAAGTTAAATATTCTGAATTGGATGAGAACTTGCATTAACATAATACATCTGAAGTTATTAATGTGTTATTCTTTTCAATAAATTGTAAATATAAATTCAACTAATTGTATCATATATGTTAATCAGTTATAAAATTTCAAGCTAATAATAATTTAAATTTCGAGTAACATTTAAATTTTAAATTTAAGAGAAAAAGAATATACAAAAGTTCTTGATTCAATAAAAATTATTAATTGATTCGTCTTTTCTTTTGCATGGGTCATTAAGTAAAGAAGGATTAAATACTGACTTGCGACTCGAGAAAAAGTCAGCTTCTTGAGGTTATGCTGAAACAACTGATTTCAGTAAGATCTATCAAATCACTAGCAAATAGTTACATAGTAACTTGCAGACAAGTTGTATTTAAAGTCCATTTTTAATTAAAGGTTTATTAAAAGCTAACACTTTTGTTGGGCGCTGTTGCCATCTCGCACAATATAATAAAATTAAGTTTTTTTCATAATCAGAATTTTATTACTTAAGCAGCCCATGCATAGCATATAGAAATGTACATAGAAATAGACAATATTGTAAAGTGTAAATTTGTTAATACTTTTGACTTTTAATTCTACTAATTCATTGATTAATTGATTAAGAGTTATGTTTCTGAGTCTCAGTGAATTAGTCGGAACGAAATTTGTCTTGGCTATCTAATTAATCGACCTGGTATGGAGTTTCAAAACACTTTTGCCTTGACAAGTTCTGTTATGAAGCTCCAGACAAGGGAGATTAATCTTTACAGATGTACTTTCTTAATTTTTAATTTCTACATTAAGATAAATGTCTTAGATTCTTAGATTTTTACATTGCTTATCATGTATTACATTGCTTATTATGTATTACATTTTTTGTTATGTATTACATTGCTTAGTGGAATTCATGTCTTCTTACTGATGAATTTGATCTCTCCTTACATTTAAACTACATTTAAATTTAGCATTACTTTGAGCTAAATTATTTCCTTTTAGTACAAAAGTACTTGCTTCTTTTTAATTGACTGCTTCGTTTCTTTTTCATTATATATATATGTGTAACTAATTTTTCACAATGACCAAAAATTGAAATTCATAATTAATAAATTTCAAATAATCCTATAAAGCAACCAAAAAAATTTTAAAACCAAAACTTTTGAACAAGCAATACTCCAATTCAAATAATGTAAAGAAAAAAGAACAAAACAGAAGAGTAATTTACTCAACTTCAATGCCACTTCGTCAGGGGGGAGGAATATTGAAATCAATTGAAATCTTTCTTTGACAAAAATCCTTGCTTTTCTGGTATTTTGTTTTTTAAAAAATTATTTTGTAATAAATATATATATATAATTTATTTTCTAAAGTGCAAATAAACCATACGAAGAAAGAACTCTCTTGCCAGTTCTAAATTTTAAAACTGAATGTTGTGTCGTCCGATTTGTCCGAAGAAAAGAAAATCAGAAAGGTAGCATAAGTAGTAAAGTTTCCTCAGCGTGCCTTCCCATAGAAGCTTGGGATCATCTCAACTACTAAGAATAGACGGGAAGAAAGAAGGAGGAAGGAAAATGAGGGGTTTTAAAGAGAGAATAAAAAACGTGTCAGATATTCTAAATTTAAAAGAATGTACAGAAAGAAGAGAAGTGTATAGAAAAAAGTAGATGTTAAAAAAATATTTTCAAAGTAAAAGGAAATAATTATCCATTTTTGAAGTAAGAAGTGTCTATTTGCGAGAGATTCATATTTTGATGTAGAGTCAGCTTTTCAATTTTTTAACTATGGTTACCATGTTTAGACTAATGTGATGTTGCAAATAGGTCAGGAGAAAAAATATAAGATTTTAATTTTTTAAATTTAATACTGTTGTTTAAAAAATTATTAAGCGAAAAAATAAATAAAAAAGCAGGGAGTGGTAGTAAAAGCAAAAATAAGACGGAATGGGAGGATGGAGGAGGGTGAGAGAGAGGTCTCTGGGGGCAAAGAGGTGGAGGGAAAACGGAAGGTGAAGGACCCGAAGAATAAAAAGGTAGAAGGGGGGGGAAGGAAGAGGAAACAGAAGGCGCATAAGAGGTCCAGGACAGAGAAGGAAAGGGGGGAAGAAAAGCAGAGAGAAGGGACGACAGAAAGGACGGGGGAAAGAAAAACGGGGGGGGAAAGAAATTTTCTGTTTTCAATTCGTATTTTTCTTTATGTAACAAACTTATAATTGTGCTTTAAAATAGGCACTTCAAGGGCGTGTAGCGAAAGAGTAGAAGCCAGGGCAAGGGGAAAAGAGGGCTAGGCCGGGGGGAAGAGGAAAATAAAGAACTCAGAAAGATAGAGAGCAGAGAAAAAAAACGACCCCAAGGGGGAAAGAAACAGAAGGAAGGGCCAAAGTGGGAGGAGAGGGGTGGACGGAGAGAAGAGAAGGCCTCAACAAGACTGATTGGGACGGCAAACCACAGGAAGTGAGTAACAAAAAGGAATATGTTTCATGCTGTAAGTGTAAAATGTTTTATGAAAAAAGTTACTGATTACTAATTTAATCCACAGGTTAAAAGTTTTACGCTTTCCCAATCAAAAACAAAATTATCTGAAATAATATCAAGCTAGAATGAGTTGCTGGCGAGGAGGCCAAGGGAGCGCTAAGACCTCTATGAGACCGATCCCGAGCTGGTAACAAAAAGATGAGTGAATAGCTATAAGCCCATTGTTTACGGTGATGTGCCAATTGGGACTATAATGAAAAAACGAGGTGGGTAGGGGGGGAGACAAAGTTGAAAGGATGGGGGATAGAGAGACGAGGGCGGAGCAAAGGTAGAGGAAGAAAGATATGAAGAGCGGAGGTGGGAAAAGCGAAAGAGGAAGCTATGTTAAATGTTGAAGATGAGGCAGGAGTGTTTTTGTACGAAGAAGTGAGACTCTCTTCTTCGAAATTATCAGCAAATTTAGACAAATTCGTTGAGGGTTAAAATCACTCGGGACGGGCGATACGAAGATGAAGAATACGGATATGCAGACCAGATGATTATCATTACTGAATATAATCGTAATTCTGTCCAATTACTCACATTTGTTAAGCAACTCGGAACCGCTTTGTGAGAAAGGTGATCTACATGAAACTCTTAGTTTGATTCAAGGCATAAGATGTTACTCAATGATATCGCAGGGATAAGGAGTTGTTCAGATGTTATCTGAAAGATTCGTGTACCCACCTTTCCAGCTAAAAGTTTTTTTGTTGGTTTTTAACGCATCTCGCTCATATTTAAGCATTTCTCTTACACTTAATCACAGTGGCTGTCGTAAAAAATGACTGTCGTGTTTTCATGGCTATTGCACGCCGAATCAATGGCAAGTATGATATTTTTTTTGTTTTTATATTGTATTGTTGTGACACACTTTTGCAAACAGATGCAAACACAGTACAGAACACTGGAAGGGTACTCCAGTCAATTTAATTGTGGTTTCTTATTATCTTCCGTAGTACACAAGCTAAAATCTGTTTGAATAATCATCGTTACCAGTTTCTATGGAGTAACAAAAGAATGATCGTGATGTGAGTTTATGAAATATGTGAATGATTTATTCGATTTTTTGTTTTGACTGAACTCATGTATGCGTAACTTTATTTGCCGGTTTGTAACATAATATTGTGTAGTGTGTGTCGTTGTAATTGTTTATAAATTAATCGGTTAGACATTATTGTCTTACAGTCACATTAAGTTCATGTGTCATATGACACTTGCTCTTATTGCAGTTGTTTGATGCCAGTTTGGCTGTAAATATGTCAATCAAATGATTTGAATTCTCTAGTGTAAGTTTCAGCACGGAAATCCTGGTACCCCTGTCGATTTGTGTTATGATATTTGGATCTTTTGTAAAAAGCGTCTTACGGTGTGTATAGTAGTGGTGGTTTTAAGGACAATCAAGTTAATTGGATTACATGGTAGTAGAATTTAAGTCATGATGTTGGAGTTCTTGAACTTCATGAGGTTTGGGGGATGCCAATGGGAGAATATATGATGTTCATTCGATTGCGACGGTAGAGTATAAATAAATGTGTGTCAACGCCGTGTCCACCGGCGTTAAATCGGAAAAACCGTGGACTGTCCGGGAATACACGCGTCACAACGTGCAACCCAACAAAAAGACCTACACCCGAAGACATGCACAGACTAAAGGCGTCACGAGACATATGTGAGTGAAGGTGATATTACATTATGATTAACGCTTGTATTAGATGCACTGTTTATTTTCTAGTCTGTAATGTGCTCGGGATTAGAGCTTCAGTTTGACAGAGCATTAAAGATAATCATGAAACAAGGTACATGAAAATATATGAAGATACATCTATGTTTGTATGATGTCGCTCCTGTCCGGGTATTGTTGTTGATGAGCGTGTGTAAGTTCATATTCATGTGCCTGTACAATATATCTTCAACTGGACAATGAACGTTAATGTACCCCTATAGACGAGAAAAATACAGACCAAATAAGTCGTTTTCTCTTGTTTTATTCTATGTGTTACCTTTTCTCCCCTCCTCTTGTGCAGTCTTGCTATTTTTTTGTATGTTTTTCAACTTTGTATGTTGCTCTATCCCCCCATCGATGGTATTCTCCCTTTCTTTTTCCATGTTCATACCCTTCCCCACATTTTTTTTTGACCATGTTTTTTCTTCCTATTTGACTTTACGATTGGACACAATTAGAGAAGAAAAGAGACTCTGTCCACCAAAGATCCTGCCTTAGTCAGTGTACTAGATAAATATAATTTAAAAAAGTAAAAAATTAAATATGAGAATTTGAAGATATCAATACTAATAATCTCGGTAACATTTTGATGAAAAAAAAATTCTCCATTTTCTTAAACAAATTTGAATGACTCTCAGTGCTTGTAGAATTGTATAGAAGTAATAATATATAAAATGTTTTAAATTACTTCTTTCCTCTGGGTAAAGTTTTAAGATGTTGTTTATATAAAAATAACTCTTAGATAAATATTTACATGCTCTCTAAAAGTTAGAAAATTTAATTTAATATCGCCTTGCAAATATATTTTTAAAAGACAGTGAATTAAGTTTAATGTTGCTGATTTTATTTAAAAAAGAAAAGTGTAATTGAAAAATTTCATATAACATTTCATAGCCATTGTTTAAAGAAAGGAAGCTATTAAACTTCTATTACACTTTCGGAAATTTTGTGTGTATATTAAAACAGTTATAAATTCATTTATAAAACTTAGAATTCATATCTTTGATTTTGGATATGCACTCTTGACTTATGTTAAACCCTTTATATAATATTTTATATTGTATTAAATTCTTTGTGTAATGAGTTTCTTTAGGCTGTTTTTAAAAGAATTTTGTTCAGATCTTTCTGTTGTTTTCTATGGTGTTTTATTTAAAATATTTATCTAGTCAAATGTTGTAGTTAGTTTTAATATTGTGTACCATCTTTCTAACCAATACTTAAACATAAAAATAGTCATTGCATAAAGCTGTTGAAATTTAAAGTCAGCATTTCGCTCAAAAAGTACTCATTATACGAGTTAATAATCCTCTATCATAGCTTACTGTTACGAACTTTATAATTTATGTTTTTATAATTGAGTTCTCACATTTATCTGCAAAAAAGGAATGCTACGGAAATGTGTAGTGCTGCCATCTGTTGCTGAAATCATAAGTTAAAGAAATTTGCGCAGCGGGGCTGCGAAATAACCATTTGATTATCTCCGTGCGAGTTCATTGCAAAGCATTGTAAAATATTTCGAGTCGTTGCTTTGCTTTGTGGAGATTTAGAACTATGACACTGCTATAGATTTTTTTTCGTGTATATTATATGTGTTAATATTTTATAATTTAAATAACTTATTTTATAATTTAATTACTTAAATTACCTAATTTCTTTAACTTATTTTGCATGAACATTATCATTTTATCGAAAACTGCCTAACGATATCAGTGTGTCCTTTTATTTCAATACATGTGCTTTTTAGATTGAGTTAACGTGTATAATATTAGCCTGAAGTGAGTAACTTTATGTAAAATTTATTTAGAAAGAAACTGCGTAATGTGTAACCGAATTACACCTTTGTTACTTATATTCATTAATGTATTCTACATGTAAAACCATGTTTGAAGATATTAGTGTGTTGCAATTTTTTTTTTTTTTTTTTCAGTTGCAGTTGCGATGGAGAATGTTATTTGGAATTCTATAGTTACTGTACATATATATATATATATTAAAAAAAAACTTTATGAGTCGAATTAAAGTGCCATTAATCAGTATTTGTGTGGACATTGTTTTTCTTCATTTTCAAAAGTTTTCTTACACGGTTATCAGAAGTTGTTTTCTGCCATTTCAAAAATTAATTAAGCTTGTGATTTATTTTATATTTGAAGACTGGTTCTTTAAGTATTTAATGCTTAAATTATGACTTTAATCGTTATTAAGCTCTTTTGGGAAGTTAAGTTATTGAACAGTAGCTAATCAGAGCAATATTTATTAATTTCTTCCAAAAATAAATGCATTTTTTCGGACACTTACTTCCTGAATTTATATACTGTATTATGTTCGTTATTTATCAACACACAGCTGCTTAATGTTTACAAGAACCGGAGGCTAAATAAAATTCCCAGGAACGGTCAGATAGTTGCTCACACTAGCTTATGTACACACTTACCAGAAATTGTACATAGGCGATGTTGAGTTTTGACTACAGGAAATGAGCATAAAACTTATAATGTCAAATACTCGCACATCTCTAGCATTAAGATAACTGTCTTTGTGAGAGAAAAAATGAATAGGAAAAGAAGCGCTTCTTAACGGGCAAGTGAATCAGGCTAGACAGTTTTCTGCGATAAGTGCTAGAAAGGGAAGAAGGTGGAATAGCTGATATTTGATTAATTAACAGTGGTAAAACATGCGAGGTCTATCTACCTAGAAGGAGATATGTCTTCGTGAAGGACTCTCTAGGGCAAACTGACTTCTTTCACACTGAACAAATCCCGAAAATGAATATGCAGCTAGTCTGTGTTCTGGGGCAGAATAACCGACTTGCACACATTTTAAATTCTTCTGATATTTATCGTTAGATTAAGTTGCAATTCTGATAGTTAGGTAAGGTTTTCCTCTATCCTTACAGCTTGCCTTCGTGATGTAATTGGTAAGCACGTCCGGCTAGAATCGAAAAGTCCAAAGTTCGAGTCCCGGCGAGAGCACTGCACATTTTTCATGTCTGTTATTCAGAAATAAAATACCTAATGACTCTATAAAGTTAGGTTATCTGAATACAGCAGATTACGACTATCTACCTAAGTGGGGGGTACAACCTTTCGTGGTGGACTTTCTAAGGGAAATTGCCTCGTATTCATGTTACACGTAAGGAAACCCACAAAACCCAACCATGCAGCCACTACGTTTGCTTGGAATCAGACCGGAATCAAATTACCAGTATTCAGCGGTCTTAACCACACTGTCACTCATGGGGCTTAAGCACTAGTGAAAACTTCAGTATGCAAAAAAAGAGCGAATTTTCAAACAGTTTTTCGGAATCGAATTAAACAAGCTAAAAATAAAGGTATAAACAAATAAATGATAGATATAGTTTTAGATGATAAAATTATTATTATAACTATTATATCATTAGTAGAGATTTCTTAGGATCTACAAAGGGAAATTTTTAAATCCATATTTCCGAAAGTTACTTTTTACAGTAGAAAACCGTAAAAAATGGGTAGAAATGTTTGGGATTCAATTTTTTACATGTAAAAGAGCTAAACCTGAATTTTTTTTGACATGTAATTAATTCACATGGCATAAAAAAAGGTGAAAGTGGCATAAATTGCATAATTTTGACAATTTTTAAGAATTTAATTTTATTTATTGCAGAATTGATATTTCTAAACGATCCCTCGCAAGATACGAAGCAATTTACGAATTGGAACGTTCTTAGAAGAACGTACGCGTAAAAATTTGAATTTCAGATATATATTTACTAAAACTCTTCACTCAATCGAAAGTGTCGTAATATGAAAATCTACTTTATTTGACTGAATTCTGCAACTCAGTAGTATTTAATTGAACAATCGTATTTATCTCTGTGTAAGATTGTTAAAATTTGTTACCTTCATAAAATTATGATAACTATAAAATTCCGGCTTCCTGTATTTTTATGGAAAAATTACTAAATATTCATTTTTACTTCCTTGTACGACGTAAACGAAGCATTGCAACAGCGAAAAATTTCAGGTATCATGTTTTAACAAAAATATTCATTTTGACCGCTCTCGAATTCATCTGAACGATGTTTTTGTGTGACATCTGTATTTACAGACGTCAAGCAGAACTATTGGCTATAAGAGAAGCAATAACATATGCAAAGCAATTCTCAATAACCAGTGTTATAATTTCTGACAGTGCATCAAGTATTCAAGCAATAGCTGGTCATAATCGCTCTTCTTTCGTTCAAGATATACAATATTTACTCGCATATTTTCCAACTGGACAAAAACCTAAACTACATTGGACACGCTTAGCAGATAGCTTGGCAAAAGAAGCAGCAAATGGTAAACTAAATTTAACAGCAATAACCTATTTACCAAATCCAATATCACTTTTTAAATCTTTTAAAATCAAGACTTCAACAAGACTGGATTTTACAATGGAAACTTCTGTGGTCACAAGATAATATGGGCAGACGAACTTTTATGTTTCTACCAAAACCAACACGAAATTTAGTTACAACAAATAATGCAATAACATATCTTCTAACAGCACATGGACCCTTCATTTCATATCTTTTTCGTTTCGGCTTGTATCATACAGACAACTGTATATGTGGATCAACAGGAACAATAGATCATTACCTGTTTGAATGTGCAATCACTAAAGACCTCCACTTTCGTCTTTTCACAAGTGAAAATGCCCAAGGATGGTTCAAACAACTACTCAGAAAGTAAATCTTCTCTCCGCAAAAAACTTCATAATTTAATGGAATATCTCATAGAAAATGTGATAATCTAAAGGCAGCATAAAATTGAAGGCATCACAATTCCACATCAGCACTTTTTCGGCATAATTAGCATCACTTCAAGACAGCCCAACTTCAATCAACAAATATGATGAAACTTACTTCACACTAACTATAAAATTTCTCAGAGCTTTATCAGAACTTACTTCAGACTAATTATTAACTTCACAGATAAATAAACTTTAACAGACTTATGAAACTGTGCACTATAATGAACAGTGAACTATTTATGAATTATTGTAATATAAAATATATTATTTTAATATTATTGTATTAAAATTTTAAATAAACATAGTCCCACTGAGTGAGCAATAAAGCTGAAAGTCTTCATGGTGGCACAGCTGCTCACCCAGTGGTCTCCTGTATTTACAGACGACTGAATAAAGGTATCTTTTCCCCAAAACGGATTTAAAAAAGGATGCAGAAGACATATTTTCGTACGTCTTTCAAATTCATACGTCTATTTCAAATACATACGTCTGTACGTACGTATGTATTTTGCATAACTCAAAAACGAGTAGCCTTAGAACATATGATTCTGCCTCTGTATTTCTTACTTTTCTGGCATAGCTTCTCGTTAGATTTTTCATGTTACAAAGGAAATACAGCAATTTTACTTATAATTCTATTAAAATTACCTGTCTAAGTACAAAATTCGTAAAAATATATTCCCGTTGGTATAAACGTCTCAAATACTAAATTTGAAAAGTTTTTCGTGATAGTTATGTAGAGACGTTAGGTATTTTTGAAGATGAAAAATTAGCAACGCCTTCGGGAATCAAACCGCGGACCTCTGGAATAACGACCCAGTGTGCTGACAACTGCACCACGAAGGCACGCTTAAGAAGACGGGAGATATGCCTTATATACTCCCCCTTTTAAAGGGCGACTGGGGTCTTTAGGGGACCTAATCGCCAAATCCTAGGTGAGGAGAATTATCATCCAACACCCTTTTAGTTCGTGCGCCACTGTAGAGACATTAGGTATGTTTTAAGCAGGCAAGATGAAAGATGAGCAATCGTTTCGCCGGAAATCGAACCACGGATCTCTGGAATACCGGCCTAGCCTGCAGACCACCACACCACGAAGGCTCTCTAAGAAGGCGGGAGAAATACCTTATAGTTAAATAAAAATTTTCATTAAAACTTGCTATGAGCTTTAAGTAAAGTACCACTTCCGGTTGTCCAATTTTAGCCAAAATCTAATCAGTTCTTTATGTGAATGCAGTAAGCTTAAATATGGAAAACACAAATTTATCGATGTTTGATGTAAGAGTTATCGTGGACGAAAACGTCATCACATACAGACAGTTAGACAGCATTGTAAAAATAGTAAGAACGGCTTGTGCAGGCTCTAATTGGTGTTCAGTCATTGAAAAATCATTATGGAATTTTTGGGAAATATTACCTCCCTGACGTATGTACACAGCGGGGGAGGGGGACCGACAGTTCTATATCTCTTGTTCTACGAGGGAGATTTACGAAATTCAACTTGTGTTTTTCATGTCTCGAAAGCGCGACTTAAGATATGTATTAGATTTATATATAGTATCATTTTAATATAAGTATTTTGAAACAAAATCGGACTTTTTCAAATTAGCATACCAATTTTTTTTCATATTTCGATTCTAAGACTCAAATTACGCCAAAGTGCCAAGTTTTGTAAAAGCTAGCACGAGTAGTTTTTAAAAAATTAGCTTTCAAAATTTTAGCTCCTCAATGTTAGTTGAATTTGGTATATATATTTATTAATCTCTCTTTTTTTTATTAAAATTATTTGATTCTTTCTTTCACATTTCGAAATTTAGGTTCATTCCAAATAAAATTAACCCATTTTTTTTGTGATTTATTTTTCATGATTTATTTTTTTAATTTATATTTTTAATATATTTTATAAATTTTTTTGAAAAAAACAGTTTGAATTATAATCTATAAATGTTTACCATCATCTTAAAGTACATGTATTTCTAAGCAAACCTGACAAAAAAAAAAAAAAAAAAAAAAAAAAAAAAAAAAAAAAAACTTTTTATTGAAAATTTTCGAAGAGGTACGTGAATTTACATATTGATGCGTTTCGAAATTTGGCATATTTTTTGAAAGCGAGAAAACACCAAATATGGTTTAGACACTTCGCAAAAATTATTTGGAAGTAGAAAATATGTGAATTTTTTTCCGCTCACGCATAATGTAAAAAGGTAGGAACGAGGTGCCTTTTTTTCGGCTACGGAATAATGGAAGGGAAAGGAAAATGGGTTGC